AAAACACTCTGAATCTCCCACCACCCCAAAACCTTCATCCATACCAACCATACCCTTTTACACCCACATAAAATATGATGAAGTTGCTCCTCCCCCTCATGACAGAACACGCAACCCACATCGCCCCCTGACAACACAATTCCTCTTTTACATAAATTCTCCTTAGTCGCTAACCTATTCAAAAACATTCTCCACCCAAAAACACTCACTTTAGAAGGGACATATCTATTCCAAATCACCTTAACCCATTTCTCCTCAAAAAAACTAGAATTTGGTGTTAAGAACTCATATGCTGCCTTCACCGAATAACAACCATCACTACTATGCACCCATTTCCAAGAATCCTCCCTATCTATCCGCAACTTAAAACCATTGATCATTACCCAAAAATGTTCTTCCTCTTCTGCTGCCCTCCCTCTACAACCACATCTCCACTTACAATCCCAAACCCAATTTTCTCCACGCCAAACCCCCATATCCTTCAGTATTCCTTCCGTCCTTACAGCCAACACAAACAACCTAGGATATAACTCCTTCAAAGACTTATCCCCCACCCATTTGTCACTCCAAAAATCCACACAGCTTCCATCCCCAACTTCCCACTTAAAACCCCTTACTAACATCTTTGATAATCGTTCCGATCTACTACCCAAACTCACAATATCCTTCCAAATCCGAGACATATTCAAACACTCAACGGAAGTAACATCCCTCTCCCTCCTACCCCCATAATATTTTCCCCAAATCACCCTCTTCCATAAGCTATCTAAACCATCTCCTAGTCGAAACCACCATTTCCCCAACAAAGCCCCATTCTTTCTCTCTAAATCAACCACTCCTAAACCCCCCTTCCCCTTCTCCACACACATACACTCCCAACTAACCCATGGAATTTTTTTAGCCAAACTCGCACCTCCCCAAAAAAAATTCCTCTGAATTTTAATCAACTCAACAAGAACAACTTTAGGAATCTTAAATAAAGACAAATAAAAAATAGGGATAGCAGAGAGTACCGAGTTTATTAAGGTAATCCGGCCTTCAAAGGACAGTAATGGGCTTTTCCAAGTGGCAAGCTTTTGATGGAACCGATCTAGCACCGACTTCCAAGTGGCTGCTGCAGAACTGTTCACTTTTTTTTTTTTTTTTGTTGGTTATTAACGAAAACTATTGGCTTATCACATTTTAACCTTGAAACTTGTTGGTTATTCATTCCTTTTCTAGTTACTACATTTGTTATGATGATTCTAGATATAATTGTTAACATGGTTCTGCAATCTGTTTCTGCAGATGGGCAACAAGGGTGCTTTCATTCGTTTTGAAGCTCCTCCTGATTTGTAGCCGAACATTGTTACATTCTCAGCGGTGGTGAGTACCTTTGCATTGTGATATCCCTTTTTAAACTTTCAAATTGCACATCATAACACTCTGTAACAATACCTTTTTGTTTGTGATTGACAGCCTCACCCTGATGTCAAACCAATGGCATATGCAAACAACTTTCTTCGGTTGTTCCAATAACTTATATATTTGTCTTCAATGATCTATCTTCTATGGTTTGGGGGATACAAAAGCTCAACTGCTAAACAGTAAGTTGCTTGAGCTATTTAGCAGTTGAGCTACAGAAATAGTGCTTGTTGACTATGCTGCTTTGACTAATAGTTTTTTCCTTTAGAGGAATCCCTTGGGAGGAACATTCTTTCTACTACTTTTCGTTAGTTAGGAAGTTCAGGCATTTCGTCCATTGTTGAAAATTTCCTTTGATGTCAATCAGAAAGGAAGCTGATGGTGCCTTGTAATTGTATGACCCCTTTTATCTTTGTGTCTATAACATTTGTTCCTATTTATGCGAACAATAAATTTGGTGTGTTTCTTTGTTCGGTATGCATTATTCTTGCTTAAGTTTTATATTGCTGCTGCTTTGATGGTGAAGGATGGAAATCGTGTCCCCATTTCTAATAAAGTTTACGGTGCTCCAAGCAATCGAGTCTCATGTAGATTACCTTTATAGCTATTTTTTTTATTTTTTGTTGATAAGAATAATTATTAGAAATTAGTATGTTAAAAATATTAATAGAGAATAATAAACCCGAGACATAAGAGTGCAAATCACGGATTGTCCTTTAGAGTAACAAGTGACCACTGAACCATAACATATGGAATGCTACCTTTATAGCTATTAATAACCTCTTAACTATGAAAATTGGGTTTTAACCCAAAGTATCAAGTATAAATATTTGAATATTTAGGTAAGTATTTAGTTTACAAAATTATACTTAAAAACTTTTAAATCAAATATTAAATATATTTATATACTCTACTTGTATTTGAAAAAATATTTATCCTTAACTATTATTCCTAAGCTCAATTAATCGAGCCCATTCTTAAAATTTAGGAAAACGGGAATTGTTTTTTGAAGTTTTTAATCTTGGCTAAATTGCACCCTATTCGATGCAGTTAGTTTTGTTGACTTCGATTGAGTCTTGTTCTTCTTCTTGTTCTTTTATTTATTTATTTTTTTTTTTTTTTTGGGAACGTGTGCAAATTTAGGGAAAGGGGATTGATTTTACAAAGATAAGAATTAAGTTTTTAATCTTGGTTAAATTACACCTCATTCGCACTTGGTCTCTTCGCACTTGGTCTCTTGCGCCAAATGACTTTCGGTTACATTTTGGTGCACCTCCCTTCCGCCCCCATGACACATTGTTCAAAAAAAAAAAAAATTTACACCTCATTCGATGCAGTTAGTTTTGTCTACTTCAGCTGACTTCGATTGACTCGTCTTCTCCTTTTCCTTTTCTTTTTTTTTTTTGAAAGGTGCGCAAATTTAGGAAAGAGGAATTGATTTTGTAAAGATAAGAATTAAATTAATTCTTTTCTTCTTCGGTTGATTTTATAAAGATAAAGATAAGGATTAAATTAATTGCACCTCAATAATTCATTACTTACTTTTTTTCTTTTTTCTTTTTATTTTTTTCTTTGGAACGTGTGCAAATTTAGGGAAAGGGATTGATTTTACAAAAATAAGAATTAAGTTTTTAATCTTGGTTAAATTACACCTCGTTCGCATCTCACCTCTCGTGCCAAGTGACCTACAGTCACATTGTAGTACACCCCTCTTCCGCCCATGACACACTGTTAAAAAAACAAAAAAATTACACCTCATTCGAAGCAGTTAGTTTTGTCTACTTCAGCTGACTTCGATTGACTCGTCTTCTTCTTTTCTTTCCTTTTTTTTTTTTTGAAAGGTGCGCAAATTTAGGAAAGAGGGATTGATTTTATAAAGATAAGAATTAAATTAATTGCACCCTGTTCGATGCAGTTAATGCTGTGTATGCTTTTCTTCTTCGGTTGATTTTATAAAGATAAGAATTAAATTAATTGCACCTCAATAATTCATTACTTACTTTTTTCTTTTTTCTTTTTATTTTTTTCTTTGCAACTTGTGCAAATTTAGGGAAAGGGGGTTGGTTTATAAAGATAAGGATTAGGTTTTTAATCTTGGTCAAATTGCACCCTATTCGATGCAGTCAATGCTGTGGGTGAGTCTTCTTCAATTGATAAAAAACCTCAATAATTCATTTCTTACCCAACTTTCAGAATTAATGATAGAAAGCATAAAAATTTAGGATTCATTTGTAGCTGTTTTGATTTGATCCTAAAATCCAATCCACAGAGGTTCGAGTGTTGGGTTTCGATTGGAAACATGGCGTTTACGTTGAGGGGCGTGAAGGTGCCACCGAACTTGGTAAACTGGAGGAGGCCAGGGGTCGGGTCTTCGACTTCTTCAGGTCGGCTTGCAGATCGATACCGACGATCATGGACATCTACAACCTTCACGAGTTTTCCCCCCTTCCCTCACCGATCACTATTCTCATCACTCATTCCTAATCATCGATCTGCTCTCCTTCGCCTAACAACAGTCGCCAGTCTTCTCCTCCGTCTCAAAGCAACCGACCAACCGGTGATTCCTCCACTCCATGTGAAATCGAGATTTCAAACGATTTTACCATAAAATTGCGATTTTACTATTTTTCCTTTCAATTTCATGAGATTCCAATTTTAACATAGATTTTACTCGAAATCCATACCTAAAACGTAAAATCTTACGATCTTACGATTTAAAACTCGATTTTGACAACCATGTTTATGGGGCTTAACAATGGGTTCTGCTTATATATTCCTCTTTAGATCGACCTATTCTCCGACACTTTGCTGCCTCTAAGGAAGACTGGTGCGTTGCATATATTTGTCCACTCCGCACACTCTCTCACTCTGCATTTGGCTCCGACACCATCAATTGACAAAGACTCATATATTCTGAGGTTAGAGTTAGTTATATATTTGAGTTCATTCTTGATCTATTGATTGTTTTTGTTTATTTTTCTTTAATTTTATCAGTAAATAAATATTTTATTATTACTTTGGTATAAGAGATACCTTACCTTTGAAATCCCAGCAGCTACCCCAAGCCAATTCCTAAGATATAAAACTCATTCTATTCCGTTATAAAAACGTGAATGAAGTTTTCAATATATATGTATAATCTGTTATGCAAAATAAAACAAAAATCAACTGCAATCTTGCAAATAAAGTGCAGAAAAATAAAAAGAAAGGGAAGAGAATATCAAGCCGTGATTTATAGTAGTTCCTCCAACCCAGAGTACGTCCACTCCCCAAGCCTCCTTGCTCGAGAGTTCAATCCACTAGAAATCTGTTGCTTACGGGTGCAAGATTAAACTGAAACAACCTCTTGCTTGCGGGTGCAAGATTAAACCCTCACAAGTGAATCTCAACTCGCTCAACCCCTTCAAGGATTAACCCAATCCAAGAAGAATACAAAAACCCTTGTAAGACAATATACCCAAAAGCTTACAAGAAGAAGAAAAAGGAAACCCAGAACTGTTTCAAACTCTTGTTACTATAGCAATTCGTCCCTCTTCTCTATTCCAGATCTGATTTTTGGTGTTTTAATAATTGGTTGGGAGCCTTGCCATTAATTGCCCATTTAGACCTTCAAAGCCACCTCACAATTGCTCCAATTAGGTTCCACCTTATTCTTCTGACTTGTCTTGGAAAGTGCTAAGACATTTAGATACCCTATGACCCATTAAAAGAAAACATATAATTGAGCTGTCAAAACTGAACTTTCCAGAATTTTTGCTTCGAAGCCAGAAATATTGCTTTGAACCATTTTCGGAAAACAAAAGTCCGAGATTGATTCGAACCAAAATAAATTGGTTCGAACCCAGAACTCTGAACAAGGAGGAACATGAATTAATTCTAATCGTGGGGAAAGATTAGAAACCTTGGATTAATTTTCCTGCACACTTAGCACAAAAATAGATTAAACTCTTTTGAATCATAGTTTAAAATCATCATCAAAATACAAAGAGAACCTAACAACCTTTTCATCAAACTTTACATTCCCATAAATCTCCTGCACGTTTCAACAACAATTTTTCTCACAGCATAAAATAAAGAAATTGAATCCAATTACTTTAAAGTAAAAGCTAAGCCCTCCGTTTTTCCTTTGATCCAGATAAAAGACTTATTAATCTCTGCATAAACTCAAACAATCTTTCTTCATTGCGCTGACCCCCTTCAAACAAATATTTTTCCTTTCCAACCAAATAGCCCACAGCACTATGCAATAAATAGGGGACCCCACCTCCTTATTTTACAAAATAAATCCAATACGAACTGCTAATATAAATCATTAATTGACTCTGGGCATACAAAGGAAACATACCACCGGCTTGCAGCATTTCATCCAAATTTTACAGGAGCACTTACAAGCAGCAAATAAATTAGGTTTATGTCAATGATTTGTTAGTTAACTCATGTTCTCTTCACTAAAATCATAGTTCAAATTTTATAAATAAAAATATAAGTTTTGTGGAGTCTAATTTAACTTGATTTTGAATTAGTAAAATTTTTTAATGTGATTTTTAGATAACTTAATTTGATTCTGAATTAATTAGATTTAATGTGATTTTTACATACCAAGAGTTTAGAGGTTGTTAGGTATAGTGATTAAAATTTGGTATAGTAATTAAAATTTAGTGAATAGTAAGTGATAGATTACGTATTATAGATAGTGGGAGTAGATAGTAT